TGAGAATCAAGAGTTTGTGAAACTATAAAAAATCATGTGCAACAGAAAAAACAAGCAAAATATAACCAAAGACACTGAAATAGAGAGCAGGCTGACAGTGATCAGAGGGGGGAGGGGAGGGAATTTCAGGGGAAAAGGGGAAGGGTTTACAGGAACAAGTATAAAGGACACATGGACAGCAACTAAGGGGGTTGGAAATGGGAGAGTGGGGGGGTGGGCTGGGATGGGAGTAAAAGACAGAAAACTACTTGAGCAACAATTAAAATAAATAAATACATGAAAATAAATTTTTAAAAAATCATGTGAAATCTAGATGTTAAATAAGTATCTTTTTAGCAAATCGCAGGCATTTTTTCTCAGCCCTTTATAAAATATGTCAATTTATATGCAACTTCTCACCCCCAAAGTGAACATTTTTATGTATTAGTGGAGCGGTATGTCTAGAATTCAGTGGGGCAGGTAAAGGGCCTGGAACCAAGCACTGGGAAACAACCCTGCCTCGTCACTCCTGTCTGCTCCTACGCACCCAACCTCAGGAGTTGAGAGGCTTTTGGAGATCCAGCTGTTTGCCTTCTTCGGCAGCTGTTCATCATCCTTTTCTTAAACAACCACAGGGTTGGGAAGCTATCCTAGACATTTGGTTCTACTCATGTTTACTTCCCACCTAGGGTCTGTTTTCTCTTCAGTGGCAGCATTAAAGAATCTGACGTTGGCAGTCCCATCCTCTAAGTCTTTACAACCCTTGTTTCTTTTCTCAAGATCTGCTTGAATTTCTGGAGAAGACTCTTAGAAGGCCCAAAATTTTAGCCCATGTTGAACTTTTTCTCCATCCTTGCTGTAGACACTGAGGCGGCCTAAAAGTCACTTTAATTCTTACTGTGTCACTGTTGTCCAGAACAGAAGTCTTCCTCCTGCATGTAGATTTCAGTGTGTGAAATTTTCAATTTCCTCAGTGATAGCAGTTTTTAGATCACAAGTCTAGATTTTTTAGTCTGTTTGGTGAAGTACCTGACATTTCATGCTCGGGCACTGGACAACTTACTTGGCTACTTAGAACCCCCCCCCCTTTTTTTTTTTCATTTTGATTTTCAGCTAGGTTTTGATAACTTTAATCATTAGATAAATGTCTAACAATGAAAGTTCAAGTTATTACTGTAACATTGATTCTCACAGATCTTAATTTTCTAACTTTATTGGCTCTTTGGGATCGATCAAGGTAACATTTTAGTGCCTGCTATAAATATATTTGAGTATTCAGTTATGCTATCCCTCATGAACTAAAGAGAAAAAAGATAAGCCTTTGAGCAGTGTGTTGTTTTTATCTAGTCAATAGTATTAGAACGTCCATATCTTGCCATATATGATGTGTACTTTTTGCCAAAACCTTTGAGGGAAAAATAAGGATGCTCATTATATATGGGTAATATTAATTCCGTATCTATGCAAATGACTTTAATTCTTTTACTCATGCTTCTGTGTTAAAAGTGTAACTCTAGATAGCAATAATGGTATCCATATGCAAACTTATACCTTGGAATATGATAATCAGCTTTGTTTCTAAATAAACCAATAAATAAATAATTGAATTTAAAAATTAAAACAAAAAAAAGGTTTTATGAAAGTGTGGGCCCAAAACATCAGCACACATTATACAGCAGAGTGCATTATCCGCAGCAAAATACAGTAAATGATCACATGAAAGTGCCTTTGGATTTGTGAGGAAAAAAGGGTAACTGTGGGCTGTGGTGAACAAGCTTGCCAGCCTGTGAGAGATTTAGGAGGTTATCAAAGGGAGTAGAAAACGGGTAGGTGGAAGGGAAGAGCAAATGGGTTTTTTAGTCAAAAAGGTAAGCATACAAAAAACAGGAATAATCAGAATATAGGCAGGATATCAGACAAAAAGAATAGCTTTATGAACAAGACTTACTAAGAAGATAAATTCTGAAAAAAATAAATAGAGAACTAATTCCTAAGAGTTTCAGGGCATTTAGAGATTTTTAAGCAGTAACTTAATATATAAAATTGTATGTTATGGATGTGAAAGGAGAGAGAGAAGAGTTAAGTTGCCAGTCTCATTACTACAAAAGTTGTTATCAGCAGAATGACTCAGGCACATGAGGAAGCCAGTTTGGGGAAATCTTTATATGGCAATAGAAGTAAACATTAAAGGTATCAGGCACAGAGTCAAGTTATTTGATTTAGCAAACCTTACATGAAAAAGGAAGGTCTGTAAGGCTTTTTTTTTTTAAATAAATGTTCTATGACTCTGGCTTTAATCCCAGTCATCACTAAAAATGGAGTTTGCCCATTGTCTCTTAAAGCTTATTTGTTTTATCCTACTTGGTTGATGATGTCTGGGTATCTTTACTGCTGTTTTACAGAAATAAACAGCTAAATACCTGGCTACCTTGTTTTTCTGGTGCTATTCAGTTAGCCAGTCATCTTCATTTCATTAAATGCATTTTTCTTTACACCTTTAGCTTATATTAGCAATCCCTTACTACAAAGAATTCTATGTCCTTTTCCATTTCAGGCTTCTGAAATCTCTTTAGCACTACACTATAGTGCAGAGGGTCACAAATAACATCTCTATTTCCTGAGATGACATTGCTTTTTTATTTAAAACAATATAGGTCAATCACAGTTTGGACAAATTTATATTAAAGTGTGTTTTAAAAACTAGATTACTTTGTTTTAATACGATCAAGATAACCATGGACTAGCTTTATGCAGTTAGCTCTTGTTTGTCTGTAGTCAGATAAATCATAATAAAACACTTATTTGAGCAAATTATTTCAAGGCTACCAATGCCATTAACAAAAAGACGAGTGTGGGATATTTTTATGAAAGTCGCTTCTCAAGAATTTAGTAACTATCCTGAATACCGATCTTTGCTTATTATGTAATTAGAGATTTTAAGATGCATAGTTACATTTGTAGTCCTCACTTGGAATGTGTTTTGGGGGGATAGGGGCTGTTTGATTTTTATACTGATAGGCAAAATCCAGATTCAGTGGGCTCAGCATAAAGTGAAGCATTATGTATGTTATTTCCATATTACAACATGTTTGTTCTTGGTAAAATAATTTGGGAGGAATGTAAATGGTATATACTCATACAAGTGTGCTTTTCTCCTTTTACTATTTCTTATGTGGGCTGTAAACACTGAAGTTTTAGCACCGTAGTGCTGCCCAGAGTGTCCTAGCAAGATGGTTTTAAAGGACTTTCACGCTGCTCGATGTTTAATAAGCATGGCAGATACAAGAGCTCTAAACCTGATTTTTATTTTAAACTAATAAAACATTTATTTTTGCGTGTTATTTATCAGACTTCTTTCTTGATATATGAAATTCACCGTGAAATGAATCTCTTAAAAATTGAATCCTTAGTTTTCCCATGTTAAGCACTTAAGGGAGAAATTCCCATAATGCTTACATTTTGAACTTGAATTTGAAAGACTTTTTTTTAAAAGATACATCCAAGTAAATTATATTAACATAACTTTAATTAATGTCATGTTTCCACCTAGTACCATCTAGTGTTTTAGCCTCAATCTATGTGAAATGAGTTGGCTGTTTTTTCTAGCCCTCTCGTATGTGGCTTTCTCAGTATCTAATTTAGCATGGCATTATTCTATGTGCCAGAATTGCTCAGGAGTTAACCAAGAGATGACCTATCTAATCTTATTTTCCACATAGAAGTTATTTTTACTAAATCTTAGCATGCCAGGATTTACTAATGTCCACTTACTGAGATGGGATGTGGCATTGACCATTTTGTATATTTAACTAAAATATCAGGATTTATTCTTTCGCTCAGCATGCTTTTTCTGTCTATTGTGTGCCAGACCCGGTGCTAGGCACTGAGGACGGGAAAGAGGGAGTGTAATGGGAGTGGCAAGAAGAACAAGGAACTACAGAAGGCTGAGTGTTAGAACAGGGCAGAACCTGAGCTCTCTGTGTGTGTTCTGAGAGTAAGAAAGGCTCAGTATTTGCATTGGAAAATCAGAATTCACAGCATGCAAACATTAATATGTTTTAAGAAGTTAGTAGATTTTGAATACAAAAATTGTGGAAACTGGCCTATGTTTACTCAATATACGTACGTTTTTCTCAAAGATAGAAAAGAAGTAATTAAAATTAAAAAGTATTTTTGATAAAAACTGTCTCAGTTTCAAACTTAAAGGCCAATAGGCATATCCCTCACCAGCCTTTTTTAAAAAAACAGAACATTAGTGCCACCAGTAAAAGAGAAATTAACTGATTTTGCATAATCTATGAAGTATGTTTTCACAAGTGGATATAAAGATGACTTTTACATCCTGTTGCCTTTTGACAGCATTATATATCAAATACAGAGAAAATTGATTAAGTGTGGAGAAAAATTATACAAATTAAATTCAGAACCATTTTCTGTTTTTCATAATAAAATGATTGCTCAAAGAATTCCATCTGATGACTGTTGAAAGCTCACTGCAGTTTATGATATAACTGATAAAATCTGCATCCTTGGCCTTCCAACAACCTTTACACCAGCAGATGGTGGGCGTAAAGATGTCATTCATCATTTATTTACAATGGACTTTATTTATTCTAGTGTCAACAGCTGCCCCAGGGAGTGGGTTATTGAATTCAAATGTGAGGCTCTGGGTTATTTGCTTCCTTTCAAATTTGTCTTCAGAGCTTAGTTGCTAGGAGTCCATTCTGTGCTCTAATAATGATTCATGTATTGTGAAGCCATTCAGTAAATTGGGTTGTCAGGGATTGCCAAAAAAGGTTTAGAGGTCTCGTTGGGGCGGGGGTTGTATGTGCATCTGGTTGTCTGGTTGACTTGAGCAATAGTGGTTATTATGTGACTTTTTCCTAAGGTTGGTGAAGTTAGGTTTACTTCTTTTCCTTTATGCACTTATTCCCTACCTGCCCGTATTCTGCATATGAATAATAAGGAAAAGAAGAGGACAATTTATTAACGGAAACTCTCACCCTTTTCTTTCCTTACAGGCAGGGCAAGAGTCCTTTCGTTCCATCACAAGGTCATACTACAGAGGTGCAGCCGGGGCTTTACTAGTATATGACATTACAAGGTGAGAACTTAGAAATTTTTTAGTTCAGTGGTCAGTGCAGAGAATTTTTCTAAATAAATATAGGTACTAGTAATAAAAATATACCTTTGCCTTTATGCCCTCGCTATTTCCCTTTAAAGCTTGTGTATCTTGAATTAAAACTATTTTCTTACAAGTACCCTCTAGTTGATCAGTTTGGTGATATTATTTATACATTGGGATTTAATACAGTGCTATTATTTATAATTTCTAAATTGAACTGTAATCAGTGGACTCGAAATTCAGATACTGTACTTGACATCTGTTTTTATTACATAAGTGGCAATGGCTAAAAGTAGTTATCTTTAATAGAATACATACTGTTCATTGTACACTGCTGGGGAATTCCTTTGAAAATAGTAATCAAATTACCATTTATGTTTAGGAGAGATACATTCAACCACTTGACAACCTGGTTAGAAGATGCCCGCCAGCATTCTAATTCCAACATGGTCATTATGCTTATTGGAAATAAGAGGTAAAAAGAATAATTTAAAACTTTTTTGCATTAATTATGAAGACTGTGGATAACTGTTTATGTGATACCTGTTAAAGTGCTTATTTTATACATTTGTCCAAATATAAGTTAGTTAACAGTTTCTTAAATCATAAAATTTTGAAAATCCTAAGGTGTTTCATTTGGTTTTTAAAACATAGATAATAAACTTTGTCAGAAATTATTCTTACTTCAAATAGTTTTTGTTGGAATGTATACTTTAAAGAATTATCTGAAAGTTTTACATGATTAGTAATTTAAAATAAAGCCTACTGATTTATTCTAAGGCTTTATATTGGTGTCATATTAATGTTGTTTTTTAATCTCATTTTACTTTACATTTGTACAGAGCTTTATCTGCGGTGAATTTTCTTGTGCTCTATGTCTAAAAAGATAGTACACAGGAAAACACGTTCTTCCCCATAGTTTCTATAAACTTGCAAGAGTGTGGGAAAGTTACCATTAGTGTTAGTAGAAAATTTTCTTTAGTTTTATAAAATAGTGTTAAATGGTAATGTTTTTAGAAAGGTAAAACCAAGACCCTCATATGATAATGAACACATGTCAGAGCTTTTATTTATCTCATTAACTAATGAGGGAACCAGTAAGACCTTACAGTAGATTTAAAAGAGAACTCAGAATACCACATTTATAGTCACATGAGGAATGCTGAAATGAATTTACAAACATAACAAAACTGAACAGTATCCATAGGATGATCATTGTACTTCATGGACTGCATGCAGCCTGCATGTCTATGGACCACAGTTATCTGCATTATTATCTGTTTTCCAGGAGTTAATTTTGTGTCTACAGCCTTTGAAAATTTGTGGGATGCAGTTCAAGCAGTTCTTAGAGGAGGGGGTTATAGCACTAAACACTTTTATTAAGAAAAATTTGAAATTGTAACCTAAACTTTAATTTAAATATTAAAACTAGAAAGATAAGAGCACATTAAACCCAAGGTTGGCAAAAAAGGAGGTAATAAAAAAACCGGTAAAACAACAAGTTAGTTCTTGAAAAGATAAAGAAAATAGATACAAATCAGGAAAAAAAATAAAGACACATGACCAACATCAGAAATTAAAGAGTAATACCACTACAGATCCGTCAGACATTACAGGCATAGTAAGAGAATGTTATAAACAGAGTGAAAGGATTGAGGAGATGTTGGCCAAAGGACACAAACTTGTAATTAGAAGGCGAATGAGTTATGGAAACCTAATGCACAGCATTGTGATTTTGTTTACTAGTACTGTATTACATACTTCAGAGTTGCCAAGAGACTAGATCTTAAATGTTCTTAACACAGAATGAAATAATTGTGTGAGATGATGGAGGTGTTAGCTAATGCTGTGTTGGTAATTGTACTGTGTTATATCAGTATGTCAGATCAACAGGTTGTATACCTTAAATGTGCACAGTATTATGGGTCAATTAGATCTCATAAAAATAAATGAGCCCCAAACAATTCTTTAAAACTTATTTTCACAACAGACTCCTCAACTCTGAACTATAGATACCTTAGTCTTCCTAAGATAGTCATCTTTCTCATCTTTAGAGTTATTAAGTGCCCCCCCACCAAAAAAAAACCCCTAAATAAATGGAGAGATAGACTGTGTTCATGGGTAGAAACTAAGTATTTTCAAAATGTCAATTCCTCCAAAATTGATCTAAAGTTTCATTGTAATCCCAGTCAAATTCATCAGACTTTTTGTAGGAGGTGGAAATTGATAAGCTGACTTTAAAATTTATGTGAAAATACAAAATTGGATTTTGTCCAATTTTGGTTCAGTCATTGGTTTCAGTGACTCTGATTTCAAGATATATTATACTATAATCAGTTTAGTCTGATAATGGCATACATAGACACAAATCAGGGAACGGAGTGAGAAGTGCAGAAGTAGACCCATCCATACGTATATGGTTAATTTATTTTTGACAAAGGTGCCGAGGCAGTTCAGTGTGGGAAAGGGTAATCTTTTCATCAAATGATGTTGGAACAATTGAACAGCCATGTGCAAAGAAAATGAACCTTGACCCTTACCTTACGCCATATATGAAAATTTACTGGAAGTGGATCATAGACCTACATGTAAGAGCTAAAAGTATTTTTAAAATTCTAGAAGAAAACAAAATTTTAGTTTCTCCAGTATTGTCGGGCATTTCTTAAATAGCCCAGAAAGAGAGCATTAAGTGGGGTGGGGGGGAATCAATCAATTATACTTCAACAAAATTTAAAAGTCCTGCTCTCCAAACGACAGTTCCAAGATGAAAAGACAAGCTACAGACTAGGAGAAGATATGTGCAGAACATAGGTCCGAGAAAAGATTAGAATCTAGAGTAAATGTAGAATTCTTACAATTCATTCATTAAAAAGATATCCCAGTTTTGGGTTTTTTTTAAAGGTTTTATTTATTTTTAGAGAGGGGGAAAGGAGGAGAAAGAGAGGGAGAAAAACACCAATGTGTGGTTGTCTCTCATGCCCCCCACTGAAGACCTGGCCCAAAACCCAGGCATGTGCCCTGACTGGGCATCGAACTGGTGACCCTTTGGTTTGCAGGCCAGTGCTCAATCCACTGAGCTGCATCAGCCAAGGTGATATCCCAGTTTTTTTAAATGAGCAAAAGATCTGAGCAGCACTTCACTAAAGAATATATACAGATGGCAAGTAAGCACGTGAAAAATATTGAACACAACTAATGAGTGAAATACAGATTAGAACCATAATGATATACCATTGTACACTGACTGAAATGGCTGAACTGAAAAAAAGATGAACAGAACTGTAGAGGAACTTGCATTCATACAGGTGGTGGGGATATAAAACAATAAAACTTTGTAAAACAATTGGGTAGTTCCTTTAGAAAGTAAATATGCATCTGTCATACCACCCAGCCATTTCATTCCTGGGTGTTTACCCAAGGTGAATATGCTTCATATGTCCACACATAAAATTATACACAAGTTTTCATAGTAGCTTTATGTGTAATGACTCCAGATTGGCAACAACCCACATTTTAATTAACTGGTAAATGAATAAATTGTGATATAGCCATATAGTGAATACCACTCAGGAACAGAGAGGAATGTGCTATTGGCATATACAACAAAGTAGATGAATCTGAAAAGTATTATGCTGAGTGAAAAACAGACACAAAAAGACAGTGTGTGTTTCCATTTATATAAGATACTAGGAAATGCAGACTAATCTGTAGTGGCCAGTAGCAGGTTATTAGTTGCCTGGGGTGGGGTGGGGGGGGCGGTGTGATGTGTGAAGAACATTAGGGATGGCTTCACAGGCATACGTGCATTACATTCATCAGACTTTCTGTCAAATGTGTAATTTCTTTTATGCCACTTATGCTGTAAAGTAAGGTTGTAAATAACATTACAGTGTATAGATATCATTTTAGAAAGTATTGTTTTAATAGAAATCTAGGTTTGCTGTTAAGAGAAAATACTTAAGCAATACTTTCATTGTAACAGGCTAACTTTTGATTACTTTGTGTGTATGTATTATTTTGGCTTTTACTTAAGGGTTTTCTTGCCTATACTTTCCTCATTTAAATCACATCACTAAACCATTTAAGAGTAAGGCTATTGGAAGGAAGTTGTAATCTTTGTAATATGGAAGTATTCATACTATCATTTGATGGTGATGTGTGACATAATAGGATGTTTGGAGAAGGAAGAGAATTTTCATATCTTTATCTCCAATGTTTTCCTCGTGTCTGCAACATAGTGGGCGGCAACCTACTGGTGGCTTCAGTTTGGTTGCTGCCTCTATGTAGAGCTTATAGTCCAGATATCAAAAGGAAAAGCAAGGTATAGTATATACAAGAGGTGTTTCTAATGACCGTGGATGGGTAGCCCTTATAATTAGGGGTATCGTAGCTGTGAAAAGTCACTTTAAGGGAGAAGCTAGAAGAAAGGAAAAGAGAATGTATGACAGGCAAAGAGTGAATGGAAATGAACAGGAATGAATGAGGTGATTATTATTAGATGAGGTGAGTTGGGGTAGACATGGAAACAGGGAATAAGCAATTTTTGAATTAGATGCAGTAAGCACTAGGGAGCCAGTGAAGAGATTGGAGAAGGGTGCTGACCTAGTCAGAGTGACAGATAACACGGACTTTTCTTACTATGGCATTTTAAATTGGTTATATAAGAAATAGGAAGCAAAATCTACAAAGATGAAAGGTTTTAATATTTTAAAGGATTATCATATAAACCTTAAACCAAAGGTTCTCTTATATAGTAAGAGAATTTAGGAAACAGAGATTGAAGTAATAAAAACAATTTAAACAGAGTTAATGGAGATGAAAAGTCAAAGACAACAATATGATTTCATGCCTGGAAAACTGAGGAAATGACCAAAGGAGAGTGACAACAGAAACATCATGAGTAGTGAAGTATTTAAAGAAAAGCTTCCTTTTCTTTAAACAATCCCTCAGTGTCCAAGTTCTTAACCCTCTGCCAAGATAATATTTCGAGTTGCAAACATATCAGATACTGGTAGTGGAAAACTAGGAATAACTTTAAATACCCCCCAAATAAGAGATTATTTAAATAAAAATATGCCATGTATAAAATGGGATGATGGGTAGTTAAAGGAAAGGTATTTTCTTAAGGACTTTGTGTAATTTAAAGCTGATTTTCTCTTAAGAATGATTAGATAAAGGGTCAAGAGCACACCCCCCTCTTTTAATTAATTAATCAATTAATTAATTAATCATCCTCACCCAAGGACATTTTTTCATTACATTTAGAGAGAGGAAGGGAGAGAAAGAAATATTGAGGGGGTGCCCAGAGTTGGGATCGAACCCGCAACCTAGGCATATGCCCTGACTGGGAATCAAACCCCGCAACCTTTGGGTTGTGACAACACTATAGCCAACTAAGCCACACTGGCCAGGGTCATCCCCCTCCACCCTTGCCTTCTTAATTCCTACTAGAGTGTAGGCTTCATGAGTTGGTGGGCAGGGGATAGACTTCTGTCTATTTTGTTGAGTGGTCTGTCCCACATATAGGCAGGAGCCTGGCCCACAGGAGGCTGTCAGATTATAATTGGATAAATTATCCTTGCATACTTATGCTTTAATATTTGCAAACTTAGTTTGCCTGCTTTTTATGTTCTCATCTTACCACTAGTATTTTATAGCCTGGCTATGTAAATTACCAGCATGGCATATACTTACTACTCCCTTTATAGTATTTTATATCAAACTTTCTTTCCAACATTTCAGATTTTTAGGAGTCTATTTTGAACACTTGTTTCACTGAGTGAATGCTTAGATGGCATTTAATAAATCATAAAATATCTCTAAAGTCTAACTACTGTGAAGGTTACAAAACGGTCATCAGAATCACTCACAGAAGTTTCAGTCACAGAAACAGCAGTGACTGATAATGACTGATATGGCACCTTTGTAAAAATAATTGAAAAGCTTATCCAGTCAGTAAGCTTCGAAGTTATGAAATTCCTTCTGAATTTTGGAAAGTCGAAACATTGCTATTACTTAACATTAGGTGGATGAGACTTTAACATCTTTGTTTTGTTTGTATTATTCCTAATTTGTGTAATTTAGATTTATATAAAACACAACCAATTTTTACTGTGCAATCAGTAAAAATAATATTGTAAAAGACTGCAAAATGACATGGGAAAATGGTCTGTGATTTAGTAAATGAAAAACAACAAATTATAATGAATAGTGGGTATGAATATATTCTGATAAGGAGAAACAAAATGAGTAATATAGAATTATATTCACCAAGATGTTAATTACTTATGGAAAGGGAATGGATAGTTTTTTCCTTTGCATTTTTCCTAATTTGACGAAAGTTCTCCAATAAATCGTCAGAAAAAATAATCATTACAGAATGTTTTAATGATACATATAGCACCTTGGTCTGGATGGAATCACTCTCCCAGCTCTTCCTAGAGTGTGAAGTTGGATGCTTTACTTAACCCTTTTGTGCCTCAGTCACCTGATCTGTCAAGTGAATTAAATGAAATTGTAAATAAAACTGTGTTGATGGAGAATTAAAAATTGTTGCATTTGTTCAATAGACTATAATACAGCAGAAAAAAATAAGAAGCTAGACCTACATACATTATGTAGATTAATCTGAAAAACATAATATTGACTAAAATTAACAAGTTGTAGAACAATAGCTGCATCTGAATTTTTTTTAAACATGCAAAAAATCACTTCCGTTTATGGCTGTAAATGTTAGTGTAAATGTAAAAACACCATGAGAATGAATGAGATCAGGAAGACAGGCAGGCACACAGGAGGTAGTTCAACTGTGTTAAGTACTTATTTCTTAACAGAAAAATCGATAAAGTTGTCAAAATAATATGTGTCATGTCTAGATGGAAGTGCATGGCTAGTATATTATTCTCCACCCTATTTTATGTGCATATAATATTTTATAATAAAATTTAACATTTTTACAACAAAACATACTTGAAGGAGACTGTTACTTTCCTCCACTACCTTACTAATACAATTCCAATATAAAAATGAGTATATCATGCTTTTGTTACAGATTTCTAGCTTACAGCTTTGTTTTTGTTTCTTCTTTTATATTAACACTTTTTTCTTATTACTGGAAATTAAACCAACTTGGATTAATAATCTAATTAATTTTTTTAGTGCTTTAGATTTTATTAAATAATTTCCTTTAGTTTCTGAGAATTGTATGACTTATTTTTTAAGCACATTCATAGAAAGTCAGTCTGGCCAAATGATGAGGAAACTAGCATAGTAGTTCTGCTCTCTCAAATTATTACTTTGAGTAAAATGGTTCCTTTGGGAATCCACGGTATTTGGAGGCAAGGTACTGGGCTGGATGTTTCCATTAGATTTCTCCTAGTTTGGGCATTGTAGGACTGTAATTCACAGTATTCTGTTGGATTGTTAGTTCTTTGAAACTAAGCATTGTGTTCTAAACACTTTGACCCTCGAACTTCCGCCAAGATGGAGGTGTAGGTGGAAACACCTTGCGTCCGTGCACAACCAAATCTAAAAATAAAGTTTTAACAACAATAAACACAACCAAACCACACAGAAAATCGACAATACAGAGTCCAAAGACAACGAAATGCTCAGCTAAACCAGTAAGAGGCGTGAAGCCAGCATCCAAGCGGGTTGGCAAAAAAGATCCCAGACCGGGTGGTGCGCAAGCAGCCGAAGGCGCAGATCCCAGGTGCGGGCTAGCTACAGGCAGGCGGACACAGGGAAGAGGACACAAGGAAGAGGCACGGCTGGCTGTCTGCGGTCAGTGGAGCATTTGCGTGCAGATAAACCAGTGAAGAGGCGAGCGTTGAGACCACACGGTGCAGGGCTGCGGGCTCGCACATTTCCGCTCAGATAAATAGGCCGGGGCGGTGGGACGGACTGGCGAGCAGAGAGGACCGCCACTGCTTCCTCCCTGACCCCGCCCCCACATACAACGTCACAAACCAGCGACCTGAGTGGCCCTGCCCTGGTAAACAACTGAGGCTCCGCTCCTCATGCTTAATGGGCACGAACAGACCAAAAATGGCTCAAGAAGCACTCAGAGCCCCAGAGCCAATAAATCTAAGTGACCAAGAAATAGCCAAACTTTCAGATGCACAGTTCAAAACTCTGGTGATCAGGATGCTCACAGAACTGGTTGATTATAGTCACAAATTAGAGGAACATATGAAAGCTAAACTAATTGAAATGAATGGTAATGCACAGGAAACCAACAGTAATGGAAAGGAAACTGGGACTCAAATCAAGGGAGTAGACCAGAAGGAAGGAAAAAATGACTAATCAGAAAAGAATGAAGAAGCAAGAATTCAGAAAATGAGGAGAGGCTTAGGAACCTTCAGGACATCTTTAAACATTCCAACATTCGAATTATAGGGGTAGCAGAAGGGGAAGAGGAGCAGTCACGAGTAGAAACCCTATTTGAACAAATAATAAGAGAGAACTTCCCCAGTCTGGCAAAGGCAATAGACTTCCAGGAAATCCAGGAAGCTCACAGAGTCCCAAAGAAGTTGGACCCAAGAAGAAACACACCAAGGCACATCATCATTACATCAGCCAAGATTAAAATGAAGGAGAGAATCCTAGAAGCAGCAAGAGATAAGGGGACTGTCACCTACAAAGGAGTTCCCATCAGACTGTCAGCTGATTTCTCAAAAGAGACCTTACAGGCAAGAAGGGGCTGGAAAGAGGTATTCCAAGTCATGAAAACCAAAGACCTACAACCAAGATTGCTCTATCCAGCAAAGTTTTCATTTAAAATGGAAGGACAGATAAAGTGCTTCTTGGATAAGACCAAATTCAAGGAGTTCATCATCACCAAGCCCTTATTATATGAATGTTAAAGGGACTTACCTAAGAAAAAGAAGATAAAAAAAGATGAACAGTGAAAGGACAGCAAACTCACTGTTATCAACAACCACACCTAAAACAAAAGCAAATTAAGAGGACAGCTAAATCAGGAGTGAACCATAGAAATGAAGATCACATGGAGGATTAGCAACAGGGGAGTGGGAGAAGGAGAAGAGGGGAGAAGGTACAGAAAATAAGTAGCACAGACAGTAGATAGAAAATAGATAGGGGGAGGGTAAGAATAGTAGGGGAAATACAGAATCTAAAGAACTTGAGACACGTGTTCATGAACTAAAGCGTGGGAATGGTGGGGGAGGGATGTGCAGGGTGGAGGGGAAAGGAGGGGGGAATAGAACAAATGTAATGGCATAATCAATAAAAAATGTTAAAAAAAAACACTTTGACTCTCATAATAACTCAGCATAATGCAATTGACTATTACGTGTTAAAAATCAACTGAAAGAATGGTCAGTACAACTGTGAATCTCTTGGTATATTTTCTGTAGATGCCTCTGTTTGACCTGTGTTAGTGAATAACATGGCTCTTTCCTATGTTTAGTGATTTAGAATCTAGAAGAGAAGTAAAAAAGGAAGAAGGTGAAGCTTTTGCACGAGAACATGGACTTATCTTCATGGAAACTTCTGCTAAGACAGCTTCAAATGTAGAAGAGGTAAGTGAGAGACCCTTTTAAATGTTTATCATCTTTTTACTTAATAGAATTATTTTGTATACTTTAATATTCATTTGGTGGTATGTCTTCCATAAGCCTTTTAATTACTGGTGATCTTTGTAGGAAAAATTCTTTCCTATGAAATTCCTTGTAACGTTCATCTTATATCAGACTCGAGTGCTCTAACACATCTTTATATACATTTTATCAAAAATATTTTTTCTCTTGCGTGAGAGGGATAGAAAGGATGATGTTTGGAGGTATTTCTAGACACTGAACATTTATAGCTTATTTATAGCCATTTCTGATTAAATAGGTAATGTATTATATTATTGCCATGTAATACAGAGAATGTAGAAATTCTGCCATCTTTAATAGATAAAATTTGCAGTATCTCTATTCCCTTAATCAACTTGAACTGTTGAAAGTTCTCTGAAAACATTATGTTCTTTACTGTACGTGTTTGAATATAGCATTAACATACTGTACATAGATGAGCAGAAAGTTAATTATAATGGTAGATATATTGCTAGACTCTATTTAAAGAAAAAAACAAAACAGAAATAAGGCTGAAAAATTATTAGCCTGCCCACAATAATCTTACAGTTCCACCTTTCTGGATAAGAATCTTAAGAGCAATGGCAGACAGGGATTGTAGAACACAGATGATTGAAGAATCTCATTATTCTAAGGATGGCGGAGGATGAGGTCATAGGCAGCAGGTAGCACAATGCCTGTGACATAGTAAACAGGGAGTAAATATTTATTAAGAATGGAGCTTGGTCTTCTAATTAACCCTTGAACCCAGAAATTGACTATAGTAGTTGAACAGCATTGGTATTCACTGAAGAATTCTTTCTTAGGTAAGATATTATACTTAGCTATACTCGATGGGATGCTCTGTGATTGTCCTTAGTGCATTTCTTATAGGCACCAACTAATGCTTTACTGTTACTGCCAGTAATTTCCATGTGATAACATACAAGAACAGTGTTTCACTTCACACAGCAAACCCAGAGAGAAAACTATTCCTCTGTTTTTCACCTTACAATATACATGTAAACCTGCCTGTTTCAGAGAGGGACTCGTTTATTACAGGTGTTGTATTTGAATCCATATGGGCCAACATGTTGTAGTGTTTCAGGGTGTCTGAAACATATTAGTGATTATTAACAGTGAATTTTTCTTGTTGATTTTGTGAACTGTACAGACAGAATTGTCTACTTTTTGATAAAGTACCATACTATGAAGTCAGATAACAAGGCGTCAACTATTGGAAAGTAATCCTTGACTTCTAGTTCTGTCTCTAATGCCTTTGTCTTCATTTTTCTTACTCTTAATCAGTAACTGTAGCTATGTACATGCAAGTAAGATTTCTCTTGTCCTTTAAATGAAATACAGGTACCTCCCATTTTTAAAAGTTTGTGATACACCACTTTGCTTTTACTGTACTAGTGTAGGTTTTGGGTAAAAGTAAAGTGGTGTAAGGCAAACTTTCAGAAAGCAGAGGCAAATACCCTTCACTTTATGCCATTTCAGCTTAGGAAAAAATGATAGAAACACCTTACTTCCATATATGGTGGAAACCTGGTTATTCTATTAATGTTTTGGCAGCACATACTATAAACCTTCTGTATCTGTGGTTAATAAGGAAAATAATTGCTTAAATTTTATCTGGGCAGGAATTCTCCATACTCGTTAGAGGATAGCATTTTATATTTAATCATGTAAATTACTTTGCCTCAGAAGCCGAGGATTTAAGAAATAATTCTTTAAATTTTATTTTTAAAGGATTCATAGGCAAGCATTACATAATGTAATCATTCATGAGATTTCGCCTAAAGGCTAAAAATATTTTGTGATAAAATATTTTAAGAAGGTAGAAGACCATTCTGTGATCCAAAAAGGGTGAGAGCAAACCTGAATCTCTTTAGATGACTTAGGAACATAGTGAATATGAAAATAATAACCAGAGACTTCTGCTTCTGGGAAGATGGACTAGACTTACTTTCACCTATTCCTGCTAAGTCCAAAACTCTAAACATGATACACAAAACAATTACAAGAAGACTCCAAATGGTGGAAGGAAGAAAGGGGACCAGCTAGAGACCTTGGGACCTGAGAAAAGACACAGAAGTAATTTCCCTTTGGTTTTCTGTTTGCCTGATGTACTTAGATTGGGTGCTAGAGAAACTGGCAATCTAGAAAGGCTAACAGGTGTGGGGGGCGAAAAAACTCATTCTGTAGGCAGAGGACTAGGCAAGTCACAGCCTAGCAAGACAGAAAGCTTTTGGAAAGTAACTGTTCTACTACAGACAAACATCACAGAAAAAAAAAATTGAGCACTGCTTTCACAATAGGTTGACTGTGATGAGGTTCTCCTACACTCGTTTCCTTGTGGGAACAGTGTCAAAGAAAGCCAGATAAAACGTAGGGTTAAATAAGATCCAGGGTCTTATAAAACAGTATCCAAAGTGTCATGGTTTTAGTAAAGTCACTATTTATACCTAGAACCAGGAAGATCTCAAACTGAATGAAAAAATCTATTCAATAGATGCTAACAGCAAGATGTCATGTTAGAATTATCTCACAGGGATTTTTTTTAGACAACCATTATAAAAATGCCTCAACAAATAATTAGGAACATGCTTGAAGCACACGAAAAATGGTCTCAGCAAAAGAAATACAAGGTCAAAAGAAGAACCAGATAGAAATTTAAGAACTGAAAAATGTAACTGAAAGTAAAAAAAGAAAACAGTGGATGGATGATATCAGCAGAATGAAAGGGACAGAGGAAAAAAATAGTGAACTGGGTGATGGAACAATGGAGACTACTCAGTGTACATTATAGGGAGAAAACAGATGGAAAAAATGAACAGTACCTCAGAGACCTGTGGGACAGTAGCAAAACCTCTCACATTGCGTTATCAGAATTTTAGAAAAAGAAAGATGACCCTGAGAAAGAACTCAAAGTAATAGTGACTGAAAACTTCCCAAATGTGTAAGAAGATACAAAACCTACAGACTCAAGAAGCTAAGCCAGATCAGACAGGGTAAAACCAAACAAATCAGCACTAAGACACGCTTTTGTTCAGAGTCAAGTCTCTGAAAGCTGAAGACAACATAAATATCTTGAAACAACTCCTTACCTTGTTGAATGATGGCAAATTTGTCACTACAAGACATGTGGGCAAGAAGGAAATAGCACAATGTTTTTTAATAGCGCAAAGAAAAGAACCTTAAGCCCAGAATGCTAGAACCAACAAAAAAATACCTTTTAGGAAATCAAGACATTCTCAGATTAAAAAAGAAAAATACCCTAAGAATTTATCAATAGCAGATCTGTGGCTAAAGGAAGTCATACCAGCAGTCAAACAATAAAATAAAGAATCTTGGATAAAGGAACACTAGTAACCAAAAGGATGGATAATTATGATAAACTTTTCCTTAAAACTTTTGAGTCTCATAAATTATATTTGACAATTTTAAGCAAAACTATAATTTCTGATGTGATTTTCAGTGTACATTTAGGAAATACTGTAAGCCAGACAGAACTGCAAGGTATGTGAAGCTAAAAAACAAGGGAACCTGTGGAATTAAACTAAGGATTCAGGCAGTGTCCAACCATGGTTATGAATTTATCTATTCCTTCTTAAGTTCTGTTGGTTCCAGTTATCAATAACAGATAATTGGAAAAATCCAGAGACTTGGACTAGACGGCACACTACTAAATAATGTGTGTGTCAAAAGAGAAGTCTCAAAGAAAATTTTAAAATACACTGAACTGAATGTAAATGAAAGTACAACATATCGAAATTTGTGGGAAACAGATAATGCAGAGGGAAATTTATAGCATTAAATGCATACATTAGAAAGAGGAAATGTCTCACATCAATATTTTAGCTCTTATGTCAAAGCTCAAGGCCCCGGCCAGGTAGCTCAGTTGTGGGTTCAGTCTCTGGTCAGGGCACATATAAGGAGCAACCAGTGAACGCACACATGGGCAGAACAACAAATTAATGTTTCTCTCCTCTTAAATCAATACATTTTTAAAAAAATTTTAAAAAGAAACCTGGCCAGGGGACCCAGTTAGCTGGGGCATCAGTCCTACACACTAAAAGGTTGCAGGTTCGATTCCCAGTTCGGGTGCTTATGGAAGGCAACCGTGTGATCAGTGTTTCTCACATCAGTGTTTCTCTTCCTCTCTCTCACTCCCTTCACCCCTCCCTTCTTCTCTTTCTAAAATCAATAAACATATCCTCAGGTGAGGATTGAAAGAACTCAAACACAAGGAAGGGAATATAAAAATAAGAGCAGAAATTGGTGAAATTGAGAAGAGGAAAACAATAATATAAACAAGAAAAAAGGTGGTTTTTAAAATATATATATTGTATTGATTATGCCATTACAGTTATCCCCTTCCCCACCTTCTTTCCCCTCCACCCTGCACATCCCCTCTGACCCACATTCCTCCCCTTTAGTTCATGTCCGTGTGTCATAAGTTCTTTAGCTTCTACATTTCCCATACTGTTCTTGCTCTCCCCCTGTCTATTTTCTACCTACCATCTATGCTACTTATTCTCTGTGCCTTTTCCCACCCCCCCTCCTCCCACTCCCCTGTTGTTAACCCTCCATGTGATCTCCATTTCTGTGGTTCTGCTCCTGTTCTAGTTGTTTGCTTAGTTTGCTTTTGTTTTAGGTGTGGTTGTTCATAACAGTGAGTTTGCTGTCTTTTCACCGTTCATCTTTTTTATCTTCTTTTTCTTAGGTAAGTCTCTTTAACATTTCGTATAGTAAGGGCTTGGTGATGAACTCCTTGAACTTGACCTTATCTGAGAAGTATTTTATCTACTCTTCCATTCTAAATGAAAGCCTTGCTGGATAGAGCAGTCTTGGGTGTCAGTCCTTGCCTTTCATGACTTGGAATATTTCTTTCCAGCCCCTTCTTGCCTGTAAGGTCTCTTTTGAGAAATCAGCTGACAGTCTGATGGAAACTCCTT